TTAGGGGTTCCAGGATTGCATATATTCCTGCCATGCTTAGAAAATTGCAAGGGTGTCACAGCCCTTGTGTAGGAATGTCTTGGCTATAATTAATCATGGGAAAACTTCCCAGAGAGGCTCAGGTTGGTTTCCTTTATACAATGACAATGAACAAAGGTTTCACTGGTGAAAATGAATGAAATTGTTCCACCAAGAAACTTGGTTGAGGTCATAGCTGGGAAATGAACAGAGTGGTCTTTCTAGTGCAAACTATGGATTTTCTTCTAGAAAGTCTTATAATTTCCTCAGCCAATCCTCTTCTTCTTACCTTTTCTCTTCCTTCTTTGAGATCCTGCTTTAAAATTCTGTCTGAGGAATTGACTCCTAAGGCACCTGTTCAGTGGGCATGTGACTTGTCTCCCTGACCCTACACAATAACAGGACCAGGAACATTTCCTACTTATCCTTATCTAATTGAATTCTCTTTCTGAGGACTGATGTTGGGGCTTCAAAGATGCTATTTAGTAAGTAATAATCATGTTTTACTTGGCTCTTGTATGAAGAACAAGAAAAAAACTAGTGAAGAGATTGAGACAGATAGATGATAGATAGATAGATAGATAGATAGATAGATAGATAGATAGATAGATAAATGACAGATGGATAGATAAATAGATAATAGATAGATGATAGATTGATGATAAATAGATAACAGATAGATAAATGATGGATTGATGATAGATAAATAAGTGGTAGATAGATATATGCTAGCTAGATAGAGACAGATATATAGATGACAGATTGATGGTAGATAAATAGATTATAGAGAAATAGATGACAGATGGATAGATGACAGATAAATAGATAATAGATGACAGATAGATGTATGATAGAGATACACACACAGACAGAGGAAGAAAATGCAGATAATCAGAATGTGGAGAAAAGAGTGAAAAGGGAAACCTCAATTCTCCTTTCTATTTATGCTTCCAGTATTTGTGGGCATTCGTTGCATTCTCTGCCCCTTCATTTTGTTGTAGGCCCTTGTTCCTCAATAAATTCACCCATTTCTCCTTTGTTTATATGGATAATGATAGTGGATATTATTTCTTGAAACTGAAGGACTCCAAGACTGATCTGTGTCACAGACCCATCTATGATGGTCAGCAACATTTTCAATATGGCACCTTTTAAACAGAGCAGAACTCATGCTCCTGGGACTAGATTAAAGAAGTGGAACTACCTCTATTATCCGAGCATCATATTCCTTGATTTATCTGTCACCGATGCTTCAACATACACATGCTATTGCTCTGTTTTCAGTCTTTGCATCAGACAAAAATAGATTCTATAATTGATAGCCCCCTCAGAGGAGTGTGACTTTCCATCTGGGATAGAAATCTGAAAAGTCTTACTGGGAGCCCAGAGTGCTGGAATGACTCCAAGATTCTTCATCACACCACTGGCCAGGCTCTCTTATTTCTTTTCCTGAAAGGTGTGAATTTGACCTTTTGATTGGTCATCAAGATTGCCATATTCAGCTACTTGTGACTGAGACACAAAGGGCTTTGCAGAAGGACAGCCTACAGGATTCTATTTGAGGAATGCCAAATGGTTCTCCAGGGCCCAGCTGGTTCTGCAGTCTCTTGCACAGTGCCTGAAGTGTGCACAGCTATTTTTGTTGAATTATAATATTATTGCTCACAATGAAATCTAATATTAAAACAGAGAACTCTTACACCTGCTAGTTGTGTAGCTTTGGGAAAGATCAAAACTTTTGTGCTTCAGTTTCCTTATCCTTGAGGCAGTGGTAACAGTGTCCATGCCACCAGCTTCTTTCAGGGTTAAAGGAGTTACTGTTTCTCAAGCCCTAGAATAACACCATGCCATCCCTGTGCATATTCAAAAGAGACAAATAGAGGGGTGAAGACAAAGAAATATATTATGTACATGTATGAAAACCATTATTTTATATAGTTAATAAACTCTAAATTTTTAATAGCAATCAATAGGCTTACCCACTTCTAAAGCCGACAAACCATAACAGTGACAAGGCCAGTAAGAAATCAGTGGTGCAATAGTGGCACTTATATCTTGGAGGTAACCAATAGCTGTCTAATTGGACTTAAAGCCTGCTTAATAGGAAGGAATCCATGCCTGGACTGTAACCAACTACCTGGGTAGTGAGATCATGAACCTTAGAGGAGAAGCTACTACTGCCGTTTTACAAACCAATAAATTTTAACTATATTCTGAAAACTTATTTTATACCCACAGATAAGTGTAGCTCTCACCCCTCAGGAAAAAGCATGTTTTTTTTTAAACAGATGGAGACTGTTTCAAAAAGCTATCACTGGTAAAAACACAGAGAACAACAGATGATGGGCTTCCCAAACTCAACCAACACATGTATAACACAATCCTTACACCCTTAGGGAATACTACAGAGGAAGGGGAAGGAAGATTGTAAGGGACAGAGGACGAGGATGTCTGCTGTGAGATAGTCTTCTACATGTGACAGGGAAGCTGTAGCCATGAAATCTCAAGAATATGGTTGCAAAACAACACTTGGACAAAGATAACACCAGTTGACATACCAACGTGGATAGAAGGAAACCTTACAAGTCCACACCTTTAGAAAAAGTGCTATAGGTATACCAGCAATCAAAGGCTGCTGAGATAGGGGAATCATTCTTCTCCAGGATAGGTTTCCAGTCCCAAGTGGTCAGTCCTAAACATATATACCAGCTACTTTAAATGGACTCCACACATACATGTTATGTGTGTGTGTAAAACAATAATAATTAAAAGAGAAGAGATAATTTGAGAAGCAGTGGGGGATGCAGAAGGAGTTGTGGGGGAGAAGGAGGGATAATTAGGAAATTAGGTAAATACAGTATTCCTGTATCAGATTCTCAAAAATTAAGAAATTAAATTTTAAAAATACATGGAATTTTTAACCAAAGCTGTATTCCAGTCAAAACTCCAAATTGTAGAAAACAAATTAGAGAGAAAAAAAGCCCTTTCATTTTTGAGAATAAATTGACGAAAGAAAAACATTTTCTATTTTTCTCTTCTCCTTAATTCTAAACAAATAGCTTAAAAACAGGAAGAATTTGAAAGCTGGACACAAACAACTAAATTTTCTTTTCTTCTTTTGTTAGATAATTGAATTTGAATGTTCTGGTTGAACACACCTACCTCCTGTTAAAATCTTGAGAGAGTGACCAAGTTTGGAGGTTTTCTTTCTGTAGGCTAAGGTTTTAGACTGAAATGTGAAGTTTGGGAAGGAGGGAGCCAAGGACTGGGATTTGATGGATTCGGTCCATTACTGGAAGAGACCATGCCTCACTGGGCTCAAGGGTTTGGTCCATCATTGGAAGGGGCTGCATCTCACTGGGCCAAAGGGTGTTAAAGGTGCTATCTCATATTATATGTGTTTGATCCTGGCAGTGTTGGTCTGTGGAGTATTCTCATACTTGGAACATGAGAAAAAGATTCAGGAAGTTATAATAACTTTAAAATGAATAAATGTATTTTATCTGTCTAAAAAAGATTTATTTCACACTTAAATGACACATCTGTTTGTTTGGGATTCTTTTCTCACCCAGCCCCTCTCAGGACCCAGGTTGGTAGAGCAGCCTCCTTGGGACTTTTCCTAGTTGTTAGTCCAGGGCCCAGAGAAATAGAAGCCCAAGCTGACAAACCTCCTACCTGGAATTAGAGCATATCAGTCTGTTTTAGATGATGCTGGCTGTGATAGCTTGCATGTAACTGGCCCCATAATCTCATAGGGAGTGGCACTATTAGGAGGTGTGGCTTTGTTGAAGTATGTATGGCCTTATTTGAGGAAGTGTGTCACTGTGAGGGTGGCCTTTGAGGTTTTCTCTGCTTGGAATACTGCCCAGTGAGTCAGTTGACTTCCTGTTGCCTGCAAAATATAGCACTCTCAGCTTCAGCACCACATCTGCCTGCATGCTGCCATGCTTCCCATCATAATGATAATGTACTGAGCCTCTGAAACTGTAAGTAAGCTACCCCAATTAAACGTTTTCTTTATAAGAGTTACGTGCTCTTGGTGTCTATTCACAGCAATGAGAACCCTAACTAAGACACTGGCTAAAGCCTAGGCATATTTGCCTGTCAGGCAGCAGAGAGACACACTCCTACCAGGCATTTTGCAGAATGGTCAAGAATAAGCCCAGCATAAAAGTGCAACATCTTCCCTAAGGGACATGCTAGCTACTAACTGTTGGGAGACGAATACTGCGGCTCTTCCCCTGTGCCTTTCTCTAAGGGTCAGGTGGTTGCACATGTGTGGTAAATGCCAGGTACTGAGCACGGTGGCGTGTAGCTGTGATTGCAGCACACGGACACCCTCTCCTTCCCTGCACTGCCATTCTGACCTGCATGGGTCCCTTGGATGATCCTAAGCCATCATGTGACTGGGAAGGGCATGATTAGTCCTCTCTAAAGATTGAAGAAAAAGGTATGTGTGAGGGCACATGGTCAAGGAAGGCTGTGTTTTGCCTGCTGCACAGTGACCTTTCTGAGGGAAACTGGATACCTGCCAGCACCTACCAAGCTGACCCTTGGAGGCCTCACTCCTCAGGCATGAATAAAAGCTTTTTATGAAAATCCATCTTAGAGATTCAGGTATGATGTATGTGTATGTTTGTGTGTGTGAATACATATGTTTATGTGCATGTGTGTAATTTCAAGGCAGGAATATAGGAGGTAGTCATAGAGATGTGTGGGTCTTTGGAGTGTGACCACTTTAGAACATAATGTTAAGGTGTATTAGAACATGTTAATTAAAAAACAGTCAAATTCCACAGCTGCTGAAGTGTGTGTGTGTGTGTGTGTGTGTGTGTGTGTGTATGTGTGTGTGTGTGTGTGTGTGTGTGTGTGTGTGTGTGTGTGTGTGTATAGTCTTATGTATCACAGTCAAGACTTGCCTTAAACTCTTGATCCTTCTTTGCTCAAGTGCTGGGATTATAAGTGTGCATTACAATGCCTGGTAGGTTTTTGCAAGTCATGTTTATTTAGCCATAATTCACAATCACATACAATGTACTTCATCCACTTTAGTGTAAAGTTTTAAGAGTTTGACAAATGCATTTACTCATTCATATAACTACCACCACCAGCAAGCTAGGGACCACTGCCTTCCACTTAAAATCTCCCGTGTGTCTGTTTGTAAACAGTCTCAGTTCTAACTCAGATCCCAGGAACCACTCAGCATTTCTGTTTCTCTTATAGGTCAGGAAGGTCTGATTTTTTTTTTTCTTTTATAGCTCAGGAAGGGTCTGATCTTTGAAGATAGATCTCATAATAAACTCTGCTAGCATTGTGTAACACTTATCTTATTTATAATTATCGTGTGTTTTAAACCGATTAACTAGCTGTTCAGAGCTGGGAAAATGGTTCATTAGTGAAGCACTAGCCAGACAAGCACCAGATCTGAGTTTGATCCCTGGACCCACCTACAAAAGCTGAGCCGGGGGGAAATCTCAGCACTGGGGAATCACTGAACAGTCAAGTCGATCCTCCCAGGTCCCAGGCCAGCGAAAGCTAAAAAAATCAAGGTAGACAGCACTTGGGGAACAACATTGGAGAGTGGCCTCTGGTTTCCATATGTATATGTACAGTTGCCTTCACACCAATCCACACACACACACACACACACACACACACACACACACACACACACAAATTATTGTTGTATATCTAGTTCTTCTTCTGGAATTATGTAAACATGAGCAAGGGAAGAGGTTATCTGGTCATTTGTTACTGTATTTTTAACAATGTTACTAAGTAAATGCTTACAAATACCATTGTATGATCAATGAATGAATATGATTGTACATTCAGTAGAAAAAAATCTCTGAGTTACTGCTCACTCATCAAAAGTGGCATCCAATTAATTTATCATGTTGAAAGTTACATATTATTTGGACATTTCTGAAGAGTGTTGAAATGTTTGGAGTTACAATGAGTGAATATTACCAGTGTGAACCATCCCACACTCATTACATATCAGAAAGGAAGATCTTTCATCATTTGGCACCTGCATTTGTGATTATTTTGTCCATTCACATATTTAAAGTTGTTCATTTTGTAATTTTTACACTCAATATATTTTGTAGCAGATCCGACACGATGGCAAGGCTCAGGAGCAGGATCACGAAGTCCTCGAAGTCCAGCTTGTTTTCTGTGTGTTCATCCAGCTCAGAAAGGATGTCTTGGTACTTTGGCTTGCTTTCTTCTCCCTGAGAATAAAGAATAATTGAGTCTATCATGTGTATAAACTTTGTATTGAGAGGTAGTAATGAATACTAAGTATGTTATTAACAGTATAGCACGCCCAGTGCCATCACACAAAATCCTTCATGACTTGTCTCTGAGAATCCATACAGTGATCTTACTGCATACGTACTTCTACAACACCCCAGCTGTGGGTGAACCATCAGAGAAGTAAGTACTTGCCTCAAAGTCAGCAGCTTTTGCTGTAAAGCCAAGATTTGAGGGCTTATCGGCCTGATTCCAGAACCACACTTTTAACAAGTTATTCTGCCTTTATTTAGACACAGAACTTCCTATGTTTTCAGATTTTCAATATATAATCTCTTTAACTATAGGAGGTACCTTTTATGCATTCTCTGGACAGTGAGATTATTCTGAAATACAGAATAAAATGTACTAGAAGAAAGCACATTGCTTTGTGTGATAGTTCAGCATTTAGTCTGATTGTCAGTCACATCCAAGCTCATAGCTGTCATACACAGATTGCAGAAAACCGTCTGAACAGCATATAAAATGGAGAGCATTTTCAGTTTCAAACATTTCAAACCACAGCTGGAAGGTTTGACATTAAACAAACAAAAGTCATCTGAGTCAATCTGATACAGAGCTGGTGTGTGCATTCAGTTTAACCACAAATGCTTATTTATGAAATGGCTGCAAAAATCCCAGGAATGCTTGAGACATTTTTGAGATGAAAATATATTTCTTTTACCGTCTAAACCATCCTTGTTTCTCTCGGCTGGCTGTCCCCACAGGTCATATCTTCAGCCAAAGCCAAAAGAGCTCTTGACTCATTTGCAAAAAGAAAGCAGAGTACTACTTGGAAAGGGTCAGAGTTCAATAAAAAGGCTTTCCTTTTGGTACCTCTCAGTTTTCCCAAAGGTTGTGGAAGCATGTAGGTCTGTCTTCTCCCTCTGTTCTGCCAGGGAACTGGCTAAGCACTAGTTACTCAAGGGTTTAACCAATCACCATCTTTTAGTATCTTCTTGACAGTGTTTCTTGGTGCTAGTTTTGTTATATCTTACTGGTGGTTAAATGTTAAGACTGGGCATTGTGTTTAGGCTTATGAGAAAGGTAATGCTCTCTTTAGGACTTAGACTTAGCAAAAAGGTGCCACACAGTTTCCCAGAGAGCTCCACAGAGAGTTTACAGTGGCGGTTCTCAACCTGTGGGTCATGACCTCTTTAGGGGATGAGTGAACCTTTCACAGGGGTCGACTAAGATTATCAGAAAACACAGCTATTTATATTACAATTAATAATGGTAGCAAAATTACAGTTATGAAGTAGCAATGAAAATAATTTTATGCCAAGGGGTCACCACAGCATGAGGAACTATATTAAAGGGTCACAGCATTAGGAAGGTTGAGAACACAGTGTGCATTTAGAAGTAAGAGGACAACCTCAGGTGTTCATCCTCATCTTCCACCTTGTCTGAATCAGGGTCTCTTGCATACCAGGCTAGCTGGCCAGAGAGCTTCCTGGGATTCTCCTGTCTCTACCTCCCATCTCATTCTAGGAGTGCTGGGATTACATATATGTGCTGTTTTTCCTGGACTTATTTGGGTTCTGGGGATTCAAACTCAGGTCCTCATGCTTATACAGCAAGTGTTTTACTTACTGAGCCATCTCTCAAGATCCCTCCCATCTTTTTTTTCTTTTGGTATATTATACCATGCATGCACACTTGCACACACACATACTCACATGCATGAGAGACACTTTGATAATATCTTATATGATTTAGTATACTAAACTAATACATATATATTGTATTTCTGTAATATATATTATATATATTACTCACAGAATTGTATTATATATATTACTTACAGAAATACAATAGTCATCTATATCTCAGAGCATACTAGGAACTTACAGACAACTTTTATATTTTTTTGTTCTGTGAGTAAATATTGGTGATTTAGGCTTGGAAGTAGCCTTCTTTGTTTCTTATATGATTTCCGTAGGTCAGTATTGCTCAAAGTATGAGCATATGCATATGATATCAGGTTAGCCAACTGTAGAAGGCATTAGAAAAATTTAATAAAATAATAAGTGACTCTTGCTCACATCTCAAATATTATCTGTATTTTAGTGTTCAGAATCCCTTTTTTGGTTTCTTACCCCAAGATGGTCCCAGTGTTCTACTGTTCTACTACATCCTCTACTCAGCTGAAGTTGCAGCTATGGGCCACAGTGCCCACGTGTTAGCTTGTTCATCAAATAAATCGGACAACTTACATACAGGAGATATTCAATAAATGTTTGCTGATTGAAATAATTGGACGGCATCCTGGGACTGGAATTCTTTGCTGTTCGGTGTGAGCCTTGTTTATGAATGCCGGTGAATTCTCTTACCTCTGTGAAATTCCTAAATTGGGTTTGTAGCAGATTCTTGGCAGTGGCTTTCCCAAGTTTACCATCAGGGTCGGAAGAGTTTCTGAAAATCAGAGCGACAGTAGCAATGGCTTTTTCAAGATCTGAGCCTTTCTTCAAAGCTGTGAGAGAAGAAATATCGAGTGAAGAATCAGAAGAAGAGTGGTGCTTTGTGCAGACAAGGGGCTGTGTCTTCCAAGGGAACTGGGGAAATAAGTATGGAGTGTGATTGTCAGTGTGACCCAGTGTGTGGCCGTGTTGTGATTCGGCATTATCTGATCCTATATCTTTAAGAAACACAGGTTCCTTTCATAGCATTTGAGTTAGAGTTGGGTTGAGATTTGACTCCTGCTTGCCATGTGGCCCTGGGAAAGCCCCTCACTTCACGAAGCCTTGGTTTTCTGAGATGTAATTTCATTCAATTCTTCAACAAATATTTACCAAGCACCTACTGCATGTTGAGCTTAGCTTTTGGTATTAAAGATACCTCATGTACAGACTTCAGGTTCTACTCTTGTGCAATTTCTACTTTGTGTTAGATGTGGTGTCACTTTATATGTGAGTATGATAAAGGGGAATGACATCTGTGATGTAATAACAGCCACCGCACATCTTTTTCTCAAACACTGTAATGTTCCCGTTAGTTTCTCTAATTTAGGATCCTTGGTGGGGAAGGCAGTGCTAGTTCCTTCCTTCCCAGGGGCAGCACCCAATGCACACAGAGAGTTTCAAAAGAAACCATTTGAACCTTAGTCACCAATACATCTAGAAGGACAATCACACCTTACAGCTATGGCAGGTTTACCTTTCTCTCCAACTAGACAACACTCTTCATGAAGCCAAAAGACTACACCTTTGTTTTTCTCCGTATATTTTCAATACCAGAACCAATGTCTGCTGCATATTAGGGCTAGTCAATGCTGTTGAGTAAACGGCTAAGAGAAAAAGGAAGAAATCTCACAACTTTCAGCCCAAGCAATGTGCAACCATCATGGATTCAAAGAATGCTCAGGTAGAGCAAGACTCAGAACACTGAAGTGACAAGATTAGATGTGATCTCTGCTCATATACATGTTATGATTTACTAGAGAAGTAAATATTATTAAAGAGAATACATATGAATATACATATATATTTGGCTTTCATATATTTAATAATGTGAAAAAAGTCTATTTTTTTCTATCTTTCCAATATTTGGCTTTGGCACTATTTTTAATGTAGCCACTTTTGGTAGGTATTAGTAATATCTCAGTGTGCTTTTTATTTGTGTTTCTATGATGCTCAACTGTCTGTAACTCCAGTTCCAGGGTATCTAACACCTTCTTCTGGCTTCCACAGGCATCAGACATACACATGGTATACAGATACATGCAGGAAAAAGCCCATTCACATAAAATTAAAAAACAAAAGAAAAGGGGAAAAAACATAAGACAGAGAAAAAAATCAAAGACCTTAATTTAAGACCCAAACTTAGAGAAAAACAGGCAAAACACTCCAAGATCCAGGCATAGATGAGAACTTTTTTTTTTTTTTTAAAGACAGGCTCTCTGTGTAGCCCTGACTGTTTTGGAACTCATTCTGTGGACCAGACTGGCTTTGAACTCAGAGATCGACCTGCTTTTGTCTCTCTAGTGTTGGGATTAAGGGTGCGGACCACTATTCCCAGCTGAAAATTTTCTGAAATTGAGTACAATAGCACAGCAAATAAGCCTAAAAATTGTCAAATTGGACTGTGTGACATGAAAAAGCTGTGCAGTAACAGAAACAATCGCTAAAGAAATGTGCTATCCTACAGAACTGAGGAAAGTTTGTGTCTGACAGGTAAGAACCTGGAAGACCTTCAAAATTCAATTTAAAAAGTCAGCCAATGAGTAAGTGGACTAATGGATTGAATAGCAATGCTCAAAGGAAGAAATGAAAATGACCAAGAAATATTGGTCAAAGTTCAGCATCCTAAAAAAGTAAGTAAATAATCAGTGTGTGCGTATGTGTATGTGTGTGTGTGTGTGTGAGAAAGAGAATGTGTAAATGTGTGAGAGTGTGTGTGTGTGTGTGTGTGTGTGTGTGTGTGTGTGTGTGTATGTACGTGAGAATGAGTGTGTGAGTATGTGTGTGCATGTGGGAATTTTTCAGATCTCTGGTCTGTTTCTTGAGCCTATGATCTTTGCCTTTGCTGACTCTATACCTACCATCTTGGTTGCCATAACCATAAACAAAGTCTCACCAATGAGGAGAGTAAAGTGGTTCTTGTTGCTTCATCCTTTGCCAATATTGTTTTGATTATTCTAGGCTATTATTTGGTTATTCTTGGGCCTTTTCTTTCCAAATAAACTTTAGGATAATCTTGCCTGTCTTCAGAAACCTTGCTGAAATTTAATACAGATTGCACTAGAGACCAATGGGAGGCAAACTAATGTGTATTTTGACAACCATTGCCAATCTGGGTTGACTTTTCAAATCCACGAGCACAAGGCCTCTTCCTGACTGTGTCATTTCATCAGTGAAGAACAGATAGGACTTTGCTGGTGGCAGGCTACTGGTAAATGGAGGAACTGGCATTGGAAATGCCAGACACATGAGCTGATATACCAGGGAACTATTTTCTCGTTTTGCTTCCTGTTGAATCTGTAACACTTTGGATGGTTCCAAACACAAGTAGGAATCTTGCAAAAATTTGTTGAGTGAATGGCTGTAAAACTCATTTTAACCTCTTCCTCCTTGGCCTCGTTTTCAGTCTCAGATTCTCAATTTTATGCGTTTGTGATTTATGCTTTCTGCTTGTAGCTTCTGCTTACCCAGATCTGACAGGCCAACTTCCCCAGGAAAATGCCTCTCTATTCTTTCTTACCCAATTCCTAGCCATCTCTTTCCCCGATCCCTGCTACTTCCAGGAACCCATATGTTTATCTCTTCAAGTGTCTAACATTAAATACTGGGGGATGGGCATATTTCTTATAATTCCTGATCTGTCTGTCCATATGTGTGTGCATGCACATGTGCACATGTGCAGTGGTGCTTTCTCTCAGCTTGCTCCATTTTTTAATAATTTTAACCTTACATTTAAGATGCTCAAGAATGAATTCTATATAAACACTGTCTTATTTGGAAGAAGCAGTTGCCTGCCTGGATGAAACACATTATTTCTTTAGAAAAAATACATCGATAATTTGGACTGATAGATCCATTCATCAATAGTCAAGAATAACTGGATATGGTGTAGGAAGAGCTCCTCTGCTGAGCCTGAGACTGTTCTTGGAGGACAGGAGTTGGTGGTACTCTGCTGGATGTGCCTGCCTGGTGAGGTAGAAGTAATTCCCAGGCTCTGACTGAGTCTATTAATAATGATGGGCACTTTCCATTGTTACTACACATATTTCAGGTGCCTTTCAAACATAATCCTATTTAATGCTTCCTCAAACCCTCAGGGGTGGGTAGTATTTGTGTCTTAGTTTTATACATTAAAAACTTATGCTTGGAGAGATTAAGAATAGTAAAGTCACACTGCTAGGAGATGAGGAATGAAAGGCTTCAGGGTTTGTCTGAAAGCTGACGGAAATATCAGCTACTTTGGGATATGTCTGTGTGAGGTCATCCGTGCTAGTTGTGAAGCTAGGCATTTCCAGCCCTGGCGGAGGGCAAGTCTGGCTGTTCTCTGAAGTGGGACTCCATCTGGATTATCCAACTTCTCGTTTGTATCCTATTTCTCTTAAAAGACAGCATGCATCTTTCTCCCAACTGTAAAATAGCACATGCTTATGGTAAAAACAGAACTAGAAATGTCTAAAATAAGAAAAGATAGCAAAGACTTGCTTGTCCTACCACCACTGATGATGTTTTCCTGGGGCTTTTTTGTGTCCTGTCTTTACAGTTTATTTCTTCCCTTAATAAACCAGCAGGTTGCCGCCTAACTTTTTCACTCTCTGCCTCATATAGATTTGTGAATTAATATGGGAAGCATATTGTAAGGGGCCTGTGGGGTTAGAAAAGCAAAGGTTGTTGTTTTGGCGTCTTTTATTGGCTTTCTTGTCTTTGGGATTTGGGCATGTTGATGTCTGAAAGGCAGCTCTTCCAGACTGCTTCGTGTTACCCTCTTCTCTTCTGTAGCCCATTGAAATGAATTTTGAACTATGCTCAGTTCATTCTTACTCATATATCTCACAGGTATGTAAAATCCAGCATTCGTCATGGGCCAGCACAGTGAATGACATCCGAACAACATTGACTTCTTGGAAGTCCCAGCAGTGAACACTCCTCCCGGGAGAGGATGTAATTCAACTCACTCAGTGCTTGTTTGTGTCAGCCCTTGGAGGGAGGTTCAGATTATAGACAAGGAAGCTGAGACATGGAGAGATTAAGAAACTTACTCAAAGTCAGAAAACAGAGCTGGCTCTTTTCTCGAATGCTCACTGCCTCTAAGTGCTGCTTTTCAGGCAGTTGTGTTCTTCAGGACTCTTTCCTAAACCCTCAGAAGGGGCAACAGGTCCCTCTGATGTCCTTCCCTTATTCCCTGAACATAGATAGCATCTCTATAACTCTCAGACTCGAAACTCCGTGTTATCTCAGTTGTCTCTTAGATCACCATCGCCCAAAGAAATACACTGCAAACCACAATCCTAATTTAAAACTTTCACAGAGACAAATTAAAAAGACTAAGAAGAAGAGTCAAAGTGATTTTAATAATATATATTGCTCAACTCAATATATTAAAATTTTCAACAGGTAGTTAATACTAAGTTCATAAGCGATTTTATACTCCTTATTTATTAGTTTCTTTCAGTTTTAAAATCTCTATTCAAATTAATCACTGCCCCAGTCCTCAGTAGCTTCCTGTGGCTGGCACATACCATGTGGGATAGCTCAGGTTCAGGCTGTATGTTTTCTGAGAGCAGTGACAGCATTGTAGTTACTTTCACAACCTTTCTCAGGCCCCGGTATGCTGTGGGTCTCAGAATACATGCAGTATGTGTGTTAAACTGGACTGACAGCTTCAGTCATTTTTCACATGTGTCTCCTGTTTTTCCCTAAAGCATGGAACACTAAACATTAAGTCCTGGATATAGTGATTTTCTAACAAGTTAGTATCATAGAAATACCATCCTCAACACTGTGGGGTGTAAGAATCACCTTATTTTAGAATTTTTCTTCATATAAGTGACTTTTGCGAGTGAAAACATGGAGTCTTGTAGAACAGATATCATGGACCCAAGCCCATAATGATAGTGTAGGCAGTACTGACAGTTACTAAGACCCTATTCGATATTCCCCAAGCCAACAAGTCCCCTAATACTCTCCTACCTTGCTGTTAAATACACATATGTACTTACCCTACATTGCTGCCCCCTAAACACTCCAAGTGTATAAATACAAATAACATAGAGAGAGAAAGGGTTTCATAAGCATTCATGGTTATCCAGAAGTTTCTCACATCTCAGGCATTCTTGATCCTATTAATTTTAACTATTGGCCTGCTGTTATGGAGCAGAAGGGACACACATATTTCAACCATTCCATGCCTTACCTTTTATTGAAGCCAGTTGTTTAGATATTGAAACACTGCAAAAACAAAAGAAAAGAAACTGATTTTTCAGAGTTTGGACACTGATCTCTGCATAAAGTGGCACATGATTTAAAATGATTGTTTTTAGTAGATGTCCTCTGACCCTTCTATTGGGGCATTGTGGTAGTTTGAATGTAATTAGCCCCCATGAGCTCATAGGGAGTGGCAATATTAGGAGGTGTGGCCCTGTTGAAGTGAGTGTGGCCTTGTTGGAGGAACTGTGTCACTGCGGGGACAGGTGTTGAGGTCTCCTATGCTCAAGCTATACCTAGTTCAGTTCACTCCCTGTTGCCTGTGGGATTGATATGTAGGACTCTCAGTTCTTTCTCCAGCACCATGTCTACATTGACGATAATGGGCTAACCCCCTGAACTGTAAGCCACCCCAATTAAACGTTTTTCCTTTGTAAGAGTTGCTTTTAATAATAATAATAGGAACCCTAACTAAGATAGGCATTCTTGCGTCTACTTCCGTACTTGCCATAAAACACTGTGTGGACTATGGTTGGCTATAGCCCACATATCCACATAGTCCTGGTTCTTATAAAGCCCTGTGACTTGAATTCCTTCAACTTGGAAAGGGACAAAGGAGAACACCTTACTGTGAGCCTCTGTGCCTTGGGAAGATGAAAGGCTGCAGTACTAGCACTGGGAAGCCACTTGTAGGTGGTGGGCCTTCCATCATTCCAAGTTCCTACATGACTGTGAGGAGTGAAGCTGTCATGGACCTGGAACTCAGATGAAAACTGGAAAAATAACTTCTTGTTTATAGAACAGTTATAGATGCTAACTCTTTAAGTGTACTTGCTCTAGCTATTTGGTCTACCTACCTATCCCAGGAGTGAGATGCATTGGTGGGTGGTAGAGACATATTCTCTTAAATGCAAAAAAAGATATCAAAAGGTAATGCAGTACAGAGAAACAGAAATACATACAAAGAGAAGAGAAGGGCTAACCTTGTCTATGATCAGGGTAATGGAATGAGCCAACTGAATCAGTAAAGAGAGAGAGGAATGCTTCCAGCATAGGGAACACTGTATTGAGGCCCTGAAGTAAGAGAAAACACAGCTTGATGGAGGAACTCAAACATGGCACATAGTTGGAAAATAGAGAAAGGAGATAGTGAGGGAAGGTAAGGCTGAAGTCAAGGATTAGGACCAGAAAACACTGAGATTTAGACCCTTATAAAGTGAAGAGGGTGGGGACTACGTATCAGATAAGCATTTGGGCTAATCTGCAGTTGGTGGAAAGTAGCTCCAGAAGGCAAGAAGAGGGCAGCTACATTATGAACAGTAAATCAAAATTTGCATGATTTCACATTCTCATCCCCAAATGGCTGGAAAGACAAAAGAACTATAGAATGTGGTCAACAGAAGAGTAGTATTGGCACCTTCTTAGAAGGAAATTTGGGGTCTAGCATTAACTAGTAGGAGCATTATTATTATTATTATTATTATTGTGTGTGTGTGTGTGTGTGTGTGTGTGTGTGTGTGTGTATGTGTTGGGGGGTACACTTTTCTTATTTAGGAATTAGCTGCCTGCCTCTACCGTGTATTAGGACCTCCAGGCTCTTTGTGAGTTCCTCCTGATTTCTGAAACCTCTGCACCATGATGATGCATCTTCAGGATAGAAGAGGTGCCATCTTTTCACTTTTCAAAGTGTGCACTTGCCACATAGCACGTGTTAGTTTTTATCACTCTGATTGATTTTCTGTCTCCTCCATTAGCAAGTGAAGACCCTGACAAGCCAGAGCTCTGCAGTTCATCCCCACACCTCCCACCTCTTGCCTGGCAGAGTACCTTGTCCTTGTTAGGTGTTCCAAAACTGCTTTTGGAAGTAAAGTTGGTATCCTAAATGGGACTCCATGGCAAAGAACATTTTTTCACTTGTTAGACCCAGTTTACACATTTGAATAATGTGAATTTCCCCCATCATAGATACTTTAGAAGACTATGTTGTATGGTAGAAATCAGTACCAAGTTTAATTTGCATGTATTTCTCAAGAGGCAATCAAAAATCTTTGTGTTAATTCCATCTTTTCAGTTCACTGGCAAAGCTTCAAGCTTGTTCTCTTTGTTTCTCCATTTTAATTTCAATCTGGACTTGGGTGGCAATAGACAACAATTTTTCAATACTGTGGCTACCAAACTATGGATATGAATAGGTTGGAAATGCATCTATCTAAGTTCGCTGAAACTCAATAAAGGAAAATCAAGTGACACTGACCTTTTAGGCATTTTGCTAGGTGTTAAAGCAGATGCTGGGGCTTCAGAAAGCCTGGGCGCTCCCCGGAGTGGGTTGTGTGGCCCTGGGTGCTGTGCATACAACCTCCTGTGTTCTTGCTTCTCTTGTTGTGCATCGGCCCTCCCTTAGCAACAGTCACCTGCTCACTGTTATTGTCTTTCACTCCATGGCAACTGCACAAAGACACCAGACAAACTTTCCCCCAGTGTTATCGTACGTAGGTAGCATTCATATGTTTAATCAACATTTGAGTGTCTGTGGTGGGCCAGGTTCTATGCCCGATTCTGGGGACACAATCCTGATCTCAGTGTGTTTGTTTACTGAATGGTTAACATTGTTGTGCAAGTGTTGGAAGCGTGGTAGCTGTGAGGAGTTAGTTGTCCTAGTAAGGTGGGTGTCAAGAGGCCAGTCAGCTGTCAGGTGAAGCCTCCTCCTTCAGGAAGTGACCTTGAGGGTGGGCAGATGTTAACTAGGTGAGGCCAGACTGTGACATCTCCTGTGTGGTCATCAGAACAGAGAAGCACAAAGGTCAGTGTGTCTGACAGAGAGTGCAGCTTGCCCGGAAGTTGGAGAGAAGAATGCTGACTAGGCTTTGCAGAGACCTGCAGACCGCAGTGGAGAACTCTGCACTGAAGTCACAGTAGTGAGAAGTCATTTGCGAGGCTAGTGAAGCTGGATTCCCATTTGGGAAATCACCCGTTTCAGTGAGAGCGACCTTAGAGGGAGAAAGTGGGTGCAAGAAAGACTCTCTGGTTCCTGGGAGTTTCAGAGCTCTTCCCATGAGGGCCTAGGGATACACTATCGCAATTGACTGAGTCGAGCTCAGAGTGAGTGCAATTACACATCCAGTCACTGAGGAAGTCCCTGGTGAGGTGACAGGAGGAAACAGTAAGAGAAGCTGTAAGGGTCATCATTCAGGACACACTTTCGCCTTAAGACACTGTTTTCCACTGCCGTGTCCCTGTGTCATTATTGCACAGTCGGTGTGACTATGCCACACTCACATTGCCTGCTTCTTTGTTTAAAAGTGTGTGTGTGTGTGTGTGTGTGTGTGTGCGCATACACGTGTATGTGGAAGCCAGGGTCAACTTTGAGGGCCATTCTTGATTGCTCTCCACTTTACACTTTACTTTTTGAAACAGTCTCCCCCTGAGCCTGGGACCCACGGGCTGCCTGACCGAAGCTCTGGGATTACAGGCACATATGTCTGTGCCCGGCTTTTAACAGTGGTGGTGGACAGCCGAACCCAGGTCCTCCCATCTGTGTGGGAAGTACATAAACGACTGAAGCCCCATGCCTGCTTCTTTTACGGGCTCCCCTTTCTCTTGTCCCTCTAGCTTTTCACTGATATCCTTAACAGTTTTCATGCAGTCTGGGAAGGAGAAGGAGAATTTGTTTAGCTCCACTAATTACAATTGCCCACACTGGGCTGCTTCACTGCCAGCGCATCCTCTGGGTGACCAGTTATTCCACACTGCTCCTATGAGCCTGGATTGACACTGAGCCAATTTCACTGTTCAGATTAAAGCTTTAGAGTTAGGCTTGTCACGGTGGTGCCTGTAGACCTGGCACTTTAATTACAGAGGTAGGAGGAGGACAGAGTTCTTTTTTTTTTTTTTTTTTCTTCAGCTAGCTTGGGCAGCAGAGTGGGATACTGATTCAAAAACCTAAAAACTAAACACACTTAGAGTTTCTTTTCTTGGCAAGGCACCTTGGGTAGGATTTTGGGATCTGGATCTTTAGTGAATAACTCAGGTTCTGATGTGCACCATCAAGAGCTGCTTGAAATGCTCACAGTAGGCTTTAATGTAGGAGCTGGCTTTTCATCCCGATTCTGCCCATTACTACTTGTATTTTCTGAGCTAAGACATTCAAAACTGTAAATCTGATTTCTCATCTGTAAAACAACACACTCCTTATGGAGCTATTGTTGAAGCTGGATGGCTTTATGTAGGGGAAGCTCTTAACACTGTCTGATATGGGAAGGGAAATCAATAAATAATACTTCCCGAGAGGGAGATGTTGGGGATGATTTTATCATTAGAGTCCTGGCGAGATGCACGCTCTGACTGAGATGGTGCCAGAGATGTTCATCAAAGGCTGCTCAGTGGGAAGAGGAAGGATGCTGAACACACAGGAGGCACAGGAAGCTGCTGCCACTCTCTGTCCTAATGGGGGCCAGTGTTGTGGAGCCTGGAGAGAGCTGCGTTCCTGGAGCAGACACCACTTGACAGTCTGGAAGTTGCAGCCACTGCTGTAATGGAAGAGTGAAGCAGAGAAGGGCTGGAGTGAGATTTCCCACACTCTGATCTGAACCTGTGCCTCCCATTGTCTAAACCCACCTGTAAGGGCTCAGAGGATGAAGAAGGGCTTAGACAAAGAGCTTGAAGGAGTAGCTGCAGGGGTGGGTTACCTGGGGCATAGCAAGGGTGGGGGATGGGATGAGAGGGAGAGACAAACAAGGGAATAAAGAGTGGGCTGAAGGAGGGGTTGATGAGGACAGTAAAACAATGGGAATCTGAGGTCCATGGATGTGCTTATTAGGTTTGGAATGACGCTGGTATTCTGTGAAAAATACCCAGGTTTCTAAAGACAAGTAAGTGTTAGTGGGCCATTTCTCCCACCTCAGAGTTTTATAATACTCTGGAACATTTAGACTGTTTAAACTAGATGATCTTAAGTCACCTTGGTAAAAAATATTTTTTAAAAATCTCCTGGTCAACTGGACCTTGTGGCAATGTGAAGACAGTGTATTGAGTATACTGAGTAGATGTCAAATTGGGGACAGGAACTGTGTAGCAGCCTTTCGGGGCTTGACAGATGACTCTGTGTGGGTTTGCTGACAGGCACACAGGACTGTTTGTATGGAGGTGGTGGCAGTGGGATTTTTGCATTCCAGCTGCAGGCTGGATGGGCATAGATGTTCCCGGGGCCTGGGGTTTCGTAAACTGAATGAGACAAAAAGGCCATTGCCGAGAAAAATGATTTTCTTTTTAAAACTAGGTTTGCCCTCACAATTGTGTTCTTTTCCTTCATGCTATTCAGTAAAAATGAAATAGCAGATTATTGGAGAGTATGAGGACTGCCTGTTGGGAGTTGGCTGACCCTCTTTGTTCAGATGGTGCCAAGTTCTTCAAACAGAAGCAGCAGCCTCATGCATTGTTTGAGGCCATTTAGAACTAGAATTTTGCAAAGTTTTTCACATGTGCTCATATCCTGGCTACGAGGATTCCTAGATTCTTGAAGTGACCAATAGCTATTTAAGAGCCATTGCTGGAGGTTGCTATGCTCTCTGTCTAAAAAGACACACACCAGCTTGATCCTGAAAGAGAAAAGCTTAGACACAGCTTCTCACTCAGTCAGTGGGGTTGTCAAAGGCCCATGCTTTGGACAGTTGGTTCTGTGCTAACCTTTTGCTAAGCTCTTTGTTACCCACAACAACCACTTGAAAGATCTTTCATCATACACAAACAATGACTTTCAGACTTGGAAGGATTACATTTCTTATCTAAAATTCCATCTCATCGTCAATGGATGAGACTAGACTCAAACCTGAGGCTCTGGAGTTTCAAACTTGATGTTTTTTAGTACATTATGTTGCCTCTTACTGATTATTTGGTCATGATAAAAGCTCTATAAATCTACAGAAGTCTGTCCAGAATTTTCTTGTGTAAACTAGCTTCCTCCTCCTTACCCCAAAGCACATCTTATTTTATTTAACACCTTGGATGACCTTCTTTATAATTACTTGTGACTTTCTTTCTGCTCTTACTACACTTAGAATATTAACAATAACTCTAATGATAGAGGACATCAATTTGAAGCATCTTAAATGTGGGATGTTACTCTGCACCCTTCTCACCAACCTGGTGCTTGTTAACTGGCACTTAGTGTTTGCTTCATGCAGATCTCTTATACAGTGGAAGACCTGGGTTTATCTAAGATCTAGGATTCAAGTATGGAACTTTTTGATTGTGTGACACAATCTCTTAAACCCTGTCTCTTCATAAGGGACCATAAATTAATCACTTTGTCTTCTACTCAGGGGCTAGCATCCCGCTAATGAAACTGGATGCTTTGGAATACATTGTGACAGCTACTGAGTTAGACACTTACAGTGTCCAGTGTTCTTTCTTTTATGTATCCACTCTCCTGTCTACAGAAACTTGGGTTGTTTGTGATTTGGTACCGTTATACGCACAGCTGCTATGAACCTTTTTCTACAGTGGCATTTGAATGGGATGGGATTGTGTGGCTATCAGGTTTACTGACCTCAGAAACTGTCCAGTTGGTTTGCAGAGAGGTGGTTCCTTCTTGATTTCTCACCCCCAGGATCTGCTTCCTTGTCAACACTGGGGTTGTCATGCCTTCGAGCTGAATCATTCAGGCATCAGCATTGTTCTCATTTGTATTTCTTTGATGACTACTGATATCAAGGACTTCTTATATGTTTATTAGCTGTTTGGTTATCTAGGGAATGGTATTCAGCAGTAAAAAAAGAACAAATTACAATTTTCCACATCAGCATGAGCAAACTGCAAAACCATTAAGTTGAATAAAACATTCAGATACATTAAAAGAGGAGTCTTGCAATATGATTCCGTTTATCTCCCAGCAGATCACAAGCAAAACTAATCTGTGGTGATAGTTATTAAAATAGTCTTTGGAACGGACTGGACTTTGGCTTAATAGTGTAAGGGGACTCTGTAGGATAAAGATGGTGTTTCAGATCTTGATGAAGGGGGTCTTACGAGTATAATTCACATGTAAACCAATTTTATTTAAACCTTTGCCAGTCAATTTTTTAATTAAAGTTTTTGGATTTTTCTCTCCCACCAAACAGCAGTGGTGTTCCCAAGTCTGAGCCGTGCTCCACCCTTGGATGATCTGGTTCTGTCTTTGAACACTGCCCCTCCCTCTGGAGGTGGGAATCCCCCCGGTAGAACTGAGTACTCACTTCTCCAGTAAGCAAGTTCTCAATTCTATTAGTGAAGATGGCTCTTCTTCCCAGTGGGAATTTAAGGGGATAATTTAATTTATTGAATTCTTCAATTTTGTTCTCATAACTCCCGTTAAATAAACTACAAAGTTGGGCTTGAGGCATTTGAATAGTTCGTATTGATTCTTTCCCAGAATGTAATCTAATTCCATGATTCTGGAGTCAGCTCAGTTCTTTCTTTCCAGTGGAAGGAAACCAGAAGTGAACGTTATTTCCTACAGGGCACTGTCTTCTGCAGCCAGGCAAGTTTGCTCCAGTGGTGTGTTATGTAACCACTGACATGGGCACTTCCCTGTCTATTTGTTTGATCTTACCAAGGGATGAAACTGGTGCTCATATAACTAGCTATAATTTATTTTCAAGAAGCACAAGCTTGTTCTGAGATGAATTTTACACCCACCTTGCCGCCTAGCTTTTACCAAACATATATGATGTCAATACAGTGGAAGCTGTAGTGTGTGATTTTGTTTGTTTGTTTGTTTGGTTTTGCATTTTGGTGTTTTATTTTATTTTAACTTGAAAAGCATAGGAGAATGTTCAGAAAGGCACTTGCCCCTCAAGCATGAGGACCCGCATCCCCGAAACCCCCATAATGCCTGATGTGGGAGTGTGTGTCTTAATCCCAGTACTCCTGTGGCCACATGGGAGGAAAAGACAGGCGACTCCCAGACACTTGTGACTTAGCAGCAAATACATGACCCTGTCCCAAAGAAGGTGGAAGGTGAGGACCAGTTGGTAAGATTATCCTCTGTTCTACACATGTGCACCCACACTACACACTGCACACATGAACACACACTTACGTACACACATCATATGTAAAATTGCAGTAAGAAATACACAAATTTATTCATCTAAAATTTAACGGTTTTTAAGTGTATGGTCTTGGTGACAAGAACCTTCATACTGCTGTATTTATGTCCACCATCCATCCCCAGTGCCCTTTTCATTTTGCAGACTGGAATCTATGTCCATTTAACATTGTTCCTCTCCCCCAGCCCCTGAGACCACCATTCCACCTTCTATCTCTGTGAACGTGTCTGATATTGGCGTCTCTTACAAGTGAGATCATACAGTCCTTGACTGTTTATAACTGGCCCTTTTCACACAGTGCAACATTCTCACCATTTATTTACATGGTTTCATATGCATGCCTTTCCTTTGTAAGGCTGCATACTAACCCACAGTGCGCATAAACGGTGCTGACATTTTGTTTAGTCACTGATCCTTCAGGGACATCTGGGAGGCTTCTTTTTTTGTCAGTGATGATTATGACTGTGAGCATGTGTGTGCAAATACTGTTTAAGTAGCTGTTTTCAGTTCAGGGGATGTGCATGTAGCTAGAAGTAAAATTGTTGAAATGTGTAATAATGTAATTTTAAATTATATTTTCAGGAAATGCCAATTTGTTTGTTTGTTTTTTTCATAGTGGTTGTACCATTTAACCGCTCCCAATTATGCATGAGGATTCTGATTTCTCCAAATCCTGGCTATTTTTTTTTTTTAATAGTAGGCATCCTAATGAGGTAGTAATTCATTTGGTTCTGATTTACACTTTCTCATGA